AAATGTTTCTTGAGCAGCAAATCAGCATATTAGAATGATTTCTGAAGGATCATGTGACACTGAAGACTGGAGTAATGATGCTGAAAATTCAGCTTTGCATCACAGGAATAAATTACATTTTATAATATATTACAATAGGAAACGGTTATTTTAAATTGTGATAGCATTTCACATAATTACTATTTTTACTATATTTTTGACCAAAAAAATGCAGCCTTGTTGAACATAAGAGACTTCTTTTGCTCATAAAAGAAAAAAAAACCTACTGACCCCAGATTTTTGAAAGGTAGTGGAAATTCATTATTCATTATAATTACAGATGCACCAAAATTAAAATGATTGCTGATATTATAATTCTAAAAATGCTAAAAGTGAATTTAGGCAACACAACATTAAAATGTACAGTATGAAAAATGGCTGTTCATTTTGAGATTGGCTAAAGATTACATTTACCAAGGGAATATATATATTTTTTAAGATTAATTTTGCTGTCATTTAACGCTCACTTAAATCTAATTGTAACAATAGGGGAAATGTTATAATGTGCTCCACCTCTCAAATAACTTGCCTTTTCTGCTGGCGTCACTCAGGCTGCGTGGCTATTGAATAATATTAACCAATAGCAAAATATTTGGAATGTAACATATATTCTTTTCACCATCCAATCAATTACTGTTGAATCAAAATAAGTCCTGCCCTAGATTAATCAAATTCAAATTTCACTCTAAAAACTCACCTCGCCTGACTCGCAGATCTTTCCGAATCAGAGTGGTGATATAACTAAGTGGCTGAATAGTTTACTCAATGTTTATTCCATCCATCTCTTCTTGTGGACTGGTTGTGAACAATGATAAGAGGGAATGACACTGACAGAGTTATGAGCCAATCACACTGCTGTGAAGTCACTGCTCATATTTGCTGATTACCCTTTAGGACCTTTATGAAAATGCAACAAACTCAAGGGAGGCCAAAAAAAAATGCTACCATCCCGGTGTCCCTGTTGGACAGTGTTACTTTAGAAAAATGATCGATTTATGAATTCGATTTTATCAGTTGTTTATATTCGGCTCATTTATTTTATGTCTGCATCCTTACACAATATTACATTTCCGTACGTGAGTTAAACCTGCAGGCGTGTGCAAAGCACATCCATTGCCCTCCTCTTTCAATGCCCATGATGTAAAAGATAAATATTCAATGCCAAAGGGATATTAAACACACAGGCCCCTATAAAATAAACAATTCACAGTTGACCTCATAATGTTCTCCTCCTGTTCCCCCGAGTGAAGAGCGCAGGTGCAGTTTGCAGCGGAGATGCTCTCTTACTGCAGCCCACAGAGTTTAATGCGCCTCTCTAAATGAGTTCTCACTGATTTGATGTGTCCTCCTCGTACACCTTTTATTCTCCACAGGGCTAAGCAGTCTGATCTTTATTAACTAGCCCAAGCTCTCGCCATCTATCTCTGCCCGTTGGTCTCCGCTCCCCCATGCATACAATGTCACAGGATGATTCAACTGCAAGGGACAACTGTTCTCTGTGGCTTATTGTTCACATTTTTCATCGAAAGGCCTGCAATGTCTCGTTTTCAAGAAAAAACCCTGACTCTTTTCCATTGTTAATGTTGGAAATTATTAGCTGTGCCAATAGCAAGGTTTTCCAACCTGCTTTAGTATTAATTAGTTAGCCATTTAAACTAGTTAAGTCTGCTTAGTGAGCATCTGCTGGACCTCAGTGAAAATGCAACTGTTTTTTACACTAATTTTGATCAAATAAATGCAGATAATTGTTGAGCATAAGATACTTCTTAAATTAAAGAATTTTACAGATCCTAAGCTTTTGAACAGTTGTGTGCATTCATGTTTCAGTTCCATTCAGTTCCCTTTAGTTTCTGGGTTAATGGAATAGTTCACCCAAAAATGAAAATTTGCTGAAAATGTACTCGCCCTCAGGACATCCAAGATGTAAATTAATTTGTTTCTTCATTGCAACAGATTTGGAGAAATGAAGCATTACATCACTTGTTCACCAATGGATCCTTTGCAGTGAATGGGTGCCGTCAGAATGAGAGTCCAAACAGCTGATAAAAACATCACAATACTCCACAAGTAATCCACGACCAACTGTTTTGGACTGTTTTCACTTTGTAAACGGTGTTTGATATGTGCATATTTCACTCCTGATTCAAACTACTCAACCTTTTCATTGGAGAAAGCAAGATTATGGATAAAGTAATCGTATTTTAGCTGGAAACAACGGTCTGAAATTAAAAACTGATTATTGATGGATTTGTTTATTACAAACAAATTAATTGATGTACTGGAGTGGTGTGGATTACTTATGGATTATTGTGATGTTTTTATCAGCTGTTTGAACTCTCATTCTGACGGCACCCATTCATTGCAGAGGATCCATTTGTGAACAAGTGATGTAATGCTTCATTTCTCCAAATCTGTTGCAATGAAGAAACAAATTCATTTACATCTTGGATGGTTTGATGGTGAGTAAATGTTCAGCAATTTTTCATTTTTAGATTTTTAAAGATATACTTTGCTGTCATAACGCTCATTTAAATCTCAATATAACAGCAGGGAAAATGTTGTTTCGTATATGTATATGTTATATATATATATATATGTGTATACGTTATGTATATATGTTTTTTCGATTGTTAATGTTTGAAATTATTAGCTGTACCAATAGCAAGGTTTTCTAACCTGCTTTACTTTTAATTAGTCATTTAAACTGGAAAAACTGCTCAGTGAGCATCTACTGGAAGTCGATGCAAATCCGCTCAGAGCACAAGAATGTCCAGATGTAGAGCTAAACACTGATAAAGATATAACTTCATCCTTCAATTCCCAAAGAAGCCTTTTCTCTATTGCTCTTTTATTACTCTCAGTCTATATTCATCAATTACAAGTTAATAAGCTTCAGTGCCTTTAAGTCCTGTTTTCCATATTCCAGGTATGAGCGTACGAGGGTCCAGAGCCTGGCGACCCAACACCATCCCCGTCTCCTTGCTTTCTATCATCGTGTTATCGACACTGCGACTGGCTTTGTGTTAACGGTCTGAAGGATCGAACGTCCTCTGACCGGTTTGATTGCCCACACACTTCCTCATTGTGGAATCGTTGGAAAGGTGCACCGAAACACTTTTGAAGAGAGATTATCGATCTATCTCTCCATAGTTATCTGAGGCAATGCCCAGCGAGGCCTTCAAGGAGCGTAACGGGAAAACGTCAGCGTCACGGTGGTCAGATTTCATGTGCATGTGTTATGTACTGTGTATCATTGTGTCCTTGCAAGTGATCCGAGACCCTAACAAGGTTTCAACCGAAGGTTTTTGAAGCGTATTGGTGTATGAGGAGGGATGAGTCATGTTACTGCACTAAGATTTCACCTTCTCATTGATCATCCGTCGGAACAAATGCCTTACTTCCATGTACATGCCAAAGTAGTTAACATCCTTTTACTTCTTATTAAGCTGCTGTTTGTTAAACTTGTGATTGTTTTGTAATTATCCCATCATTAATTGAAAGATTAGTTCACCCAAAAATCATTTACACACCCTCATGTTGTTGTCATGTGACTTTCATTTTTCTGTGGGACACAAAGGAGTGATTTTAAAGAATGTTCCCATGCAATTACAATGAATGGAGTCAGAGGCCTTTTAAAGTAGTAGTTCACTCAAAAATGAAAATTTACTTACCCTCAGGTCATCCAAGATATTGCTGAGTTTGTTTCTTAATCAAAACAGATCTGGAGAAATGTAGCATTACGTCACTTGCTCACCAATGGATCCAATGGGTGCCGTCAGAATGAGAGTCCAAACAGCTGATAAAAACATCACAATAATCCACACGTAATCAACACCTCTCCAGTCCATCTTGTAAAGAGAAAAACCACTTGTTTGTAAGAAACAGATCGATCGTTAAGGCATTTTTACTTTTCCACGATGGCTTCTGTCCAAAATACGAGTCCATAATCTATAAAACGGTTTCCTACAGTGAAGACGTCCATCTCCTGTTGTTTTCTCACATCAAACTCCACCAACATATTTGTTTAGAACTGATTTAGACTTTGATTCTGATTTAGATTTTGCTTTTAAATGGTGCTTGACCTGTGCATATTTCTCTCCTGATTAAGACTAGAAAACCTTTTCACTGTAGAACGCAATATTACTGGACCCGGAAGCAACAAAGTTAAAAACATCTTACAGATGGATTTGTTTATTGCAAACACTCATCTTTTCTCTTCACAAGATGTTAATTGATGGACTGGAGTCATGTGGATTACTTATGGATTATTATGATGTTTTTATCAGCTGTTTGGACTCTCATTCTGACGGCACCCATTCACAGCAGAGGATCCATTGGTGAGCAAGTGATGTAATGCTACATTTCTCTAAATCTGTTCCAATGACGAAACAAACTCATCTACATCTGTGATGTCCTGAGGGTGAGTATATTTTCATCAAATTACATTTTTTGATGAACTATTCCTTTAAGCTTCATTGAGGCCATGAAAGCACCATAAAATATCATAAAATTGGTCCATACAACTTGTATGCTATGTCAACTCTTACAAATTCATATGAGAATTTAATGTGAGAAGCAAGCCAAATTTTAAGCTATTCACTAATAATCTTCATCTCCATGGAACTACGGTTGAATTATTGAGTCGAGATTGAGTTGTGGATGTTTTGTTCTTCAAAAATTCGCCTTTTGTGGTCCAAAGAAGAAAGAAAGACATTTGGAACAACGTGAGGGAGAGTAAATAATGACAGAAGGCTCAATTTTTTTGTGTGTGTGAACGATCCCTTTAAGCTACTGTTTGTTATACTTGTGATTGTTTTGAAATCACATCATTAATTAACATTTAGCCTTTGCTTATTAGTTCAGTTATTTGTTCAAGAGTTGTCTCTGTGCCTTCTCTATGTTTTAGTACACACAAGGCTTGTATTTGTTTGCTCCAGGCACCATGTTGCAGCTACAAGCATCTAGTATTCATGATTGTCAAAGTGCTACATTCACAGGTTTTGTGACAACGAGACGTACACTATTTGAACTGCATTCAACACTAGGTGAGGTTATGGGCAAATTTGTCTACAGTTACAACGATAAAGTAATGATATCATGTGATAGTGACATGAGGAAACTCATTAGACTTTTATAAATATGCTAGAGATGTTCTAGATGTTCAAAATTTGATTAAGCATTTAGACACAAGACTTTAATGCAGTCATAATGATTTGGTTGAATAAAGAAGTATCATAATTTTTGACGATCAAAAATAGTAATAGGTGGGTGAAAATTTAATTTTGAGATGAGCAACCTATTATTACAGTATTACGATATCAGAGATTTTCTTTCCTCACTAACAACGATTCTGGAGTGCTAAAGCCACATTTATAATGACCCTTTTTTTTTAGTATCACGTTATTATCCCTTGTGAAAAAGAAATGTGCTTAATTGTATTAAATGTGCACTTGTAGTGTATTTACTTGTAGTGTATTTATTTGTAGTGTAGTGCACTTAAAAGTGTATTTTTAAAAAATACTTGCAGATAATATATTAATGACAAAGGCCACTTTAGTGTATTTGAGGTGCGTTCACTTTTTAATGACTGTTTCTTAAGACTTCGCAGTCTGTAATAATGTCAAATTATAAAGTACATTTTGAATCATTGTTTTAATAATATTTTGTCATGCTTTTAAGAAGTACACTTATCTTGATGTGTTGACATATATTAAAGCACATGTAAAGTACTTGATTATAATTTTAACTGTAGTGTCCTGAGATTACATTTAACGTTAATAGACTTATAGTAAATTGCAGCATTGCAAATGTGTAATTACAAATATATTTCAAACCATGACAAACAAGTTTCAATAGACCTGACATTAAAAGCATTTTTTAGTTTACCATAAAGACTTGTCAGTACATTCAGCAGTACGCTTCAACCATATTTCATAAGACAATACAAGTGATTATGAAATTCTTATTAAAGTATATTATTTCCATGGCAAGTAGCCTTTTTAAAAGCATACTTAAGTGTACTTCTTTTACACAAGGGATAACTCAAGTATTATACTTTTTTATTATATTTTGAGATTTCAGTTTTGGAAAATGAGTACGGATACTTCTTTTTAGCCTCCTGTATGTGATATCAGTGTTTTAAATAGCGTTACCATTTTCAGGTACATCAAAGTGAGGCTGATAGGGCAGGTTTAATGTATTAATAATCTGTTAAGCACTACAGCATAAACTCAGAATACATTCTTGACCTGATTTAAGTTGTTTTTTATATATAACAACAAATTAGATGTCAGCTTGTGCTATTTTTTTTGCCCCTCGGTTTATCTGCACACTGTTATATCTTATAGCGAGCATATTCAGTCTGCTGCCGGTGTTTCTTCACACAGCAGAGTGCGCAAACAGCCATTGCTTTAGTACAGATATCTGCTCATCTGTAGTTATTATTCATTTTAAAAGGGCGGCAGCGCTGCATACTGCACATATCTGCTGCATCTTAAAACAGAACTGCTGAATGGTTGCTAAAAGCCACTTGAGGTTTTTTGTTGTTTGTTTGTTTGGTTGTTTGGTTGTTTTTCTGGCCATATGCATTGTGACTTGTTCTTCCGTGACTGTTAAAAGTTCTGGTTCTTTATGTATTCGAAGCTTGTTTAGCAGACCTCAGATAAATAGTTTGTGTTTTATTTGTCACTTTCTCGCTGTGCTGGACTGCCGCGCAGATTCTAGGCCACTCACCAGATGCTCCTCAGGGCCTTTATCAGCTGAATCAGATGTGTTTAGGAAAGTTCAGGGGAAAAAAACTGCTTACCCAGTAGTGCTCAAATCAGTCCTGGTAATTAAAGGAATAGTTAACCCAAAATAAAAAATAGCTGTTTGTACTCACCCTCAGGCCATCCAAGACGTAGATGAGTTTGTTTCTTCATCAGAACAGATTCAGATAAAAAGAGCATTACATCACTTGTTCATCAATTGATCCTCTACAGTGAATGGGTGCCGTCAGAATGAGAGTCCAAAAAGATGATAAAAACATCACAATAATCCATAAGTAATCCACACTACTCCAGTCCATCAGTTAATATCTTGTGAAGAGAAAAGCTGCGTGTAAGAAACAAATCCATCATTAAGGCATTTTAACTTAAACAAGTGGTTTTTCATTTTACAAGAGGTATTGATTACTTGTGGGTTATTGTGATGTTTTTATCAGCTGTTTGGACTCTCATTCTGACGGCACCCATTCACTGCAGAGGATCCATTGGTGAGCAAGTGATGCAATGCTATATTTGATGAAGAAACAAGCTCATCTACTTCATGGGTGACCTGAGGGTGAGTACATTTTCAGCAAATATTCATTTTTGGGACTATTCCTTTATTTAATATGCTTGTGTATCGCAATACTAAAACACATATGGCATGCTGCTGAAAGATATAAACACAAGAATGATGAAAATTTGACAGCTGTGAACTGAAAGCACATGATTTGACTGATCCTTACCGTGATGTAGAAGCCATTAAACCGCACTAATAAATCACAGTGCGCCCTGCAAGGGCTTTTGATCAAATCTGCAAGGGAATAACGATTAATAGGAGAGCCGAAGACAAGATGTGAGATGAACAGCATGGCGAGCTGTATCAGGACTGTCCAGACAGGAGCAGCTTTACTTTTCGTTCTTTTGTTTCTCCTCACGAAAGGGACGTGGCCACCTTTCTGTGTCATTGTAGGATGACCGCACTCAAAGGGCCATTTGTATGACTCTCACTTACGCACATTTGAGGAGACTCCTGGGTGTTGTTTAAGGCCGCCCGCACACTGAATCGTAAGGTCAAATAGGAAGCAGTCTGAAGTGAGAGTAAATGAAAATGCTCTCAGAGTGAGAAAAGTCGCATTGTCCCTACGGACTTGCCGTACGATATAGATGTCACATCAAACTGTTGAAGCTCTTGGATGTTTTTGTGTCCGGGATGAAGGCTGCTGCATGATTTTGATTTAACCTTTGATAATGGCTGCTGACATTTAGGTGCCTGTTGGGACTTGTGTATTTTGTTCTGGATTGTCAGCCCAATTTGTGAATATTATTCATATTTTCTCTGGAGTTGCTTCAGAGTACTTCATCTGAGATCCTTAAGTGCTTATTATAAATGTGAAAAACAAACAAAAAAAATCATTATAAAATTGTTTTGTATTTTGTAAGTATTGTTTTGTTGTTTCAGTTTTATGACATCAAACTTGTAATGGCTTTTTTGTTAAAAGTCAAGTGTTGTCCTTTAAAAGTAAAGTAATTTGATTATGGCTGTCACAGATTGAGTTGTGGAAAGATTATGTAGTGGAATGCAAGATTTTGTTCCTCTTTGGTTGAAATGACGACGCGATCAAGATTAACTTGTGTTTTCGTGTGTTAGATTCAAATAGATCCACCTTCCATATGAATACGTGTAACAACACTTGACCTAGTGTTTTGATATTTCTGTATTAATACATTGTTTATTGAAAACATCTCTGTGAGATGACATACTCGCGATGAATACTGTTTTCATATTGAAAAGA